TTCAGTGAAACAAACACCCAAAAACGCATAAAACATTTTTCATAAGTTGTTTTCAATGAAACAAACGCACCACAAATTTCTAGTTAATGTACTAAAACAAGTTGATTATTATTGTATTAAACTTTGTGTTATATGTATATTGAAACAAATTATGTATTTAGATATTTAAATATTTATAATATTCGGTTTATGAATTTGAATTCATTTTTATTTCTTTCAATAATTTTTATAACAGTAAATATTAAAAGAAATTAAACAATATAAATTTTCTAATTTAGCAACATTTGTTGTGAAATATGTTGCTAAATAACCAGAATTATTAGTGTTTCTACTAAAAATACTACTAAATTTCGTAGCATTTTTACATAAAAATGTCGCTAAATTTAGCGGTATGCTAAATTTAATGGCACTTTTTTTTTTTGAAAACACTGCTAAGTAAGCAATGTTTTCCTCCAAAATGTCACTATATTCTCCGATGACATATAATCGATACTTTTAATGATATTTTTTACAAATATCGTAAATTAATTAGCTATAAAACGTTGCTAAATATGAAAAAAAAATTGCTAAAGACCTATTCTTCAGTAATAAAGATTCCATGAGAAATATATGCTTTATGACTCATTTGGTTCAAAACAAAATTGGCTATAAACCATAATCATTCTTATTCACCAACTTATAAGAGGAACAAAAAATGAGTTGATATTCTTGCTTTAATTAGTCTTTAGAAAATGTTAATTCAATTTAATCAAGGCTTTAAGTTGTTACTTAAAAAATAAGCAAACTATCATACGATTTATTTATTAAATTATTGAATTCTTAATTTTAAAAAATAAAATTTTATCCTAACAATCTTGAATATAAAAAAATTAAAATTGAAGGTTCGATTTTTTTTTTTTTTTTGAATATCCTTAACTTTATACACTCTGAAAAAGAATATTGAGATCAAGAGTTGATCGCCATCCTCCCTTTTTCTTGGGATCTTAATTTCCAGCCTTTACATAGTTTAATTTTGATCATCGTACATTCATATATTTGCCAAATTTTGTTTTAGTTTTAATTTTTTTGGAAAAGTTTTTATAATGTTAAAAAATTGTCATTAACACACTTGGATACTTGGTCTAATTATAACAAAAGATATGAAAAAATTAACAATTAAATTAATGATTAAAAAAAATTTTAAGTTGATTAATTTACTTACCCTAAGCCCTAAGGGGCACAATTTTTGGAACTTGTGGAATTTGCTATTAGTATTCAGGAAAAAAATTCTATTAAAAAAATAAAACAGTTACGTTTTTTTTAGCATGTTTCATAATTATGCTATTATTACTTTTTTTTTTTTTTAGATTTGGGTCATTGGGGAACTAAGATTTTAGAATCTAGGTGACCCATGTTAAAAATGTTAAAGGCCAACTTCTTGTTTGGATAAAAAACCCAAACCTTTAAATTGCTTTTATGGAGTCAAGCTGGTAATGGGTCATGAATTCTCCAGATTGCATCTGCTTCGCAATACAAAGTTCGAAAAGCTGTGACAAAATTAGGATTAGCATAGAATGGTGCATCAGCACCATTACTGTGGATGATTTTGAGAAGGCTGTTGAGAATGTAGTTTATAGTAATGGAAAGTTTTATTGTGTCCTTAGTGGTGGGATACTTGAGGCATTTTGTGATGCAAGTTGTAATTGGGGTGTGTTTACATATATGGAGCCAATTATCGAAATCCAGTTTTGGTCCAGTTCACAATTGGCTGTATCCGACGGGGAGCTTTTGCTGGTTTGCCAATCTCTAAACTTCCATGTTTTTCAGGTTTGATGGGTCTGACATGGATTGGATAGAGATACACAAATTAGGAAACCAAGCACTGTTTCTTGGCTGTACCTCGTTTACAGTAACAGCTGAGGGGAAAACATCGGCTTTGGCAGACAGGATCTACTACCATGGCGATTGGCGCCATTCTTATTTTTATTATTTGCGCACAAACAAAAAAATCCTTAGGAGGATTTTTATCCTGGAGTTGTGCACGACTTCAGTGAAAGAATATGGATTGAACCGCCCTCGTTTTAGTTCATATGAATTCAGTTAAGTAATCTTCTGTCATATGTTTGTTAGATGCTATTTTAATTTAACAACTGTGATTCTTCACCCTCATTAGTGAAACTTATTGGATAGAGATACACAAATTAGGAAACCAAGCACTGTTTCTTGGCTGTACCTCGTTTACAGTAACAGCTGAGGGGAAAACATCGGCTTTGGCAGACAGGATCTACTACCATGGCGATTGGCGCCATTCTTATTTTTATTATTTGCGCACAAACAAAAAAATCCTTAGGAGGATTTTTATCCTGGAGTTGTGCACGACTTCAGTGAAAGAATATGGATTGAACCGCCCTCGTTTTAGTTCATATGAATTCAGTTAAGTAATCTTCTGTCATATGTTTGTTAGTTTAACAACTGTGATTCTTCACCCTCATTAGTGAAACTTAGCAGCTTGTCATTTTATGCAGGTTCAGTTTCCTGTGAAGGTTTTTTTTTAGTGGTAAGGTTATTAGGTTATGACACGTACAATTTTTTAAGCTGGTTCAAGCAAGTTTATTTATACTAAATTTAAGAAATTCATGAAAAATTACATTCGAACTCGGGCACTGTGGAATCTTCTTTGTGTCAACAAGTTGTTGATTTTGGATTAGAACAATTCTGATCAGTTTCAACCATCCATTTCTGTCTCTTTCATATTTATATACTTTAATAATTATTTTCTTTAATACGTAACTTTCAATTATCGCTAATGTGGGATTCATGTAAATTGACATTGAACTTAATTAGATTTAGAAGGGATTATAATTGTTGGTGAAATGAATTTTATAAAACTATCAGATATACAATAGGCATCCTTTGTGATCCAACATACTAAGTTTATCTTATTTTATTTCGCTGTTAACAGAGCACATATCAATTTCTTAATTTCCCTTTATTTTCTCACCTCGAATCTTAATACTTATAATTTTGTTTTAATAAATTTCTTTGTTCAAAAAAAAAAAATAATTAGGCAAGAATATTTATTTGTGATGGTCAATACATTGATGAAGACTTCAAACGTGCAAGCCTGTTCATTCCTGCAAATTATGAACATTAATAATAGTAGGATAGGATGGAGAAATAAATATTGAAATTAAGCCTGTTTTATATATGATCAGATTCCGTTCACATTCTCTAGTGGATTAAATTTCTGTCCATTGACTTCTAATTAATCATAAGGATGAACATTTCACATGTTGGTGGATATGAACATAATTTGACTTTGTCAATTATGGATAAAACAATTAAAAATAATGTTTTTTCCAACCTCAATTCCCTCTGATTGTTGGCAGATCTGATCTCCTCTATCCCGTGAGTCAATAGCTTCCCTTTGATAACAAGAAAAAGTCTTAATTTGAATAGGCAAAATGTGAAAGAAGAGAGTCGTGGCTTATTCTAATTTGTTACTTTTCATTACTAAAATTGACAACTTGTGATGTTGGAAACATACATTGTATGAAAACATGGAGTGCTTGAATTTCAGTTCAAAACCTTCTGACAGTTGTTGCATACTGTCAATTTTGATACTGATGCTTATCTATGTCACATAATTGCATTCATGAATATCCGGAAAAAATGATGTATTATGTATTTTTTTTTTTAATAATTGAGATTGTCAGGTATTAAATTTTGGTTATTAAGATTAACAGTCTAATATTTTATTATAAACAAACCACATAGTATTAATTCAACTATTATCGTCTTAAATTAAAGTTAATTTGAAATTGAATCTTCTGATTAATAAATAGTCAGTAGCTTGGAAATCATCTCAAGATTTTACAATTACAAAGAACATTGAAATTGTTATATTATAATTAAGATAATTAGTTTTTATGATGCTAGATCATAATTAATCTATGCTCTATGGCATATAATTTTTTTCGAAACAATGGGCTCCATTAAAATGATTAATTTCTCATTGATAAGTGACATCGATTCTTCCTAGTTGTACTGCAAACATATTATTCTCTCTTTTTCTATTGTTTTGGCAATCAAACATATTATCCTCTTGTATTCATCAAAAAAGAAGAAAAAATTATTCTCTTGAGTCATTTTATTGATATTGATCAAATGGATATGTAATTATTTTTTGTCAATTCAACTAGTTCTGTTTTGATTTTTATATACAAAGTTGAACACATAACCGCCTTTGCACGTTTCAGCACAGCTTTGTGGCGAAGCACAAGCAATTTATTTCTCCGTTATATATATAATCGAATGTAATCTTAATAGCCCAAAAAACTTCAATTAAATCATATACCTAAGAAAAAAGGAAAAAATCATGAGGTTGAAGGTTACATTTCTGGCTTTTTTCTTGGTTCTTCCTCTTGCCTTAGCAGACCTAAGGGTTGGTTTTTACAGGAGGAGTTGTCCACGAGCAGAATCCATAGTTCAAGCAGCTGTGCAAAGACGTTTCAATCGTGATAAATCCATCACTGCAGCCTTGCTTCGCATGCATTTTCATGATTGTTTCGTTAGGGTAAGCTTTTCTTTTCTTTTCTTTTTTAACATTGTCATATATCCAAACACATGAGCGCCGTTAACCCTTTTGGCTCTAACTCTATTCTATATCTTCTGATTCTGCATATAGTATATGGTATGAATATACTGAACAAATATATAAGATCATTAAATACTAGTAAATACGTTAAATTTCTTATCAAAAAACAAATCAATATTGTACTCTACAACTATAATTCAGTACATTTATGCAATTAGTGTAAAACTTCAATCCCTTAATATCTCACAGATTGGTTACGAGTCTCACACTTACAAATCTTAGTTGATCAGCATATGAATTTTGGTGTCTTTTCGTTTCAATTTATCAAAAAAATACGACTAAGCATAGTACCCTCGTTCATTTTGATTTTATTTGAGTTGAGTGTCTTTTCTAATTTGACAAGCACAAATATAGTCAATAAGAAACTAATTTAGTATGTTTAAAAGTTGAATTTAATCACCGAGCATTTAACTCAGTAATTGGTGCAGTGTCATCTGCTTAAAAAAGAGGATTTGAATCCCAAATGAATTCGAAAATTTATGCCACACGCTTATGACATTCTACTTTATGCAGGGCTGTGACGCATCTATTCTCATAGATTCAACCAGCAAAAGCCAATCAGAGAAAGATGCAGGGCCTAACTTTACGGTACGTGGATTCGAGCTCATTGATGAAGTCAAGAAAAACCTAGAAGCAGCATGCCCTTCAAAAGTTTCTTGTGCTGATATTATAACATTAGCAACCCGAGATGCTGTGTTTCTATCAGGAGGACCCTTTTATCCTGTTCCTACAGGAAGGCGAGACGGTCTAGTCTCTAATCCTGACGAAGTAAATTTACCAGGCCCAACATTGTCTGTTTCACTGGCTTTCCAAGCTTTCAGTGCTAAAAATATGACCATGGATGATATGATTACCCTTTTAGGTGCACATACAGTTGGTGTTGCTCATTGTAGTTTCTTCTTAGACAGGATTACAAATTTCCAAGGAACTGGCCGCCCTGATCCTACAATGGATCCTGCTCTGGTTGTGACTCTAAGGAGGATTTGTGGTGCAGCCAATGATTCCAATCCTGACCCTACAGCATTTCTAGACCAGGCCACTCCTTTTACTGTTGATAATCAATTCTTCAAGCAGATTGGTTTGAAGAGAGGAATAATGCAGATTGATCAAGAATTAGCTAATGATCCATTGTCCGGACCTATTGCTTCAGGTTATGCAACAAATGCGACTCTATTTACAACCAGGTTTGCACAGGCTATGGTGAAGATGGGCAGCATCCAAGTTCTAGTGGGAAATGCTGGAGAAATTAGGAAAAATTGTAGAGTTTTTAATCCCAGACGACGAAGAGCCTTTTAAATTGAGTTGCAAAGCAAAGAGCCTTCAAATTTGCTCTTTTCTTGCAAGTTGCTTGAAATTCAGCTCTATTTTTCCCGAATTCAAACTCGATTTTTCAAAATTCTTAATAAATAATCCAAGCTAGAACATAATTCAGAAATATTTGTTTGAAGTCCATTGGTTTTTTAAGGTTTTTCTTAACCTATTTACTCCCCGTATACCTCTATAAGATCAATATTGTATCATTTTTATCTTGTTTGGCACAGAATTGTAACGGTTTGAACTAATGTGATTGTTTGAGTGACTTAAATTTTCAAAGATGATTTGGGATATTTCATCATGAAAATGGACTAAAAAATAAATTTAATAATTTTAAACATGATGATAAGATACAAAAAAATACAACAGCAATATAAATTAAAATTTTAACAAAAATTGTATATAAATTTAACCAAAAACAAAAAAAAAAAAAACATATGCTTTGAATATAATATGTAGTCTCAAATACATAAATATCTTAATCTAATCTAACGCCTTCTTTTTCTCTTTCTTTTCATTGTCTATAAAAGTGAAGACTGTCTGATAATCAGATCGGTAAGTACCTTCCTTTTAATGATTAAAAAAAAGAAACAAGAAAAAAAAAAACTTAATAGGAACTATATATAGCTAAGGATTCCTTTGTCTGCTAATTGATGTTTTGAAAACTACTGATGGAGACTGCATATATGATTTCTTTTCAAGCGATATTTGTGGATAAAAGAAAAAAAAGTACTGGCATGAGATGACCCATTTCCGCAATTTATTGCACCATTCCATGCTTCATAACTGGGGAATGATTGTTTGTGCATGTGGGCATAAGAATCCTACAACCAAGCATGAGAATTAAGAAAGATTCAGGTAGAACCCTAATCTGACCCATTGCGAATTTCTTTCTTTTCGATTTTGACATGTCTGAATGTGGAAATTCATGCACCTATATTGTTAACTTAAATGCTAATACTACAATCAACCATAAAAATTAAATCAAACATATGATTTTGTCTTTACCTTAATGTTTGCTTCTCCAAAAGTAGAAATTATAATTGGAATTTAAATTCTTTTCACTCTCTGTCTCCAACAAATGAAATATTGGTTAATTTCATTACATCTTAAAAAAAAAAATTTCAAGGATGTTAGATGTTTGTTTTGTTTAGAGTCTTCCAATTATTAATATAAGAATAAGAAAGGTCCATTTAGTGATTTTATCCGTTAAATCATCTTTTTTATCCAAGGCATTTCAAACCTGTAAAATATTTTGTGAAAGTAATCATCCACCTTTATGAAACATTTTTATTTATTACAGTGAAATAAAAGAACCTGTTTATTTTTTTCTTTTTTTTTTTTTCTCTAAACCACGTTTATTAAAGTAACCAAAAGGTCACAAAGCTGGCAATAGCTAGCGAACAGAGTTTCGTTGCCTGTCGATAGAAGCAATATAAAATACCTATTTGAGAACAAAAGAGCAAAAAACAATCCATCTCATTGATAGAAAAAAAAAATTAATCCCATAACCGCTAGATACTAAAGAATGATATCAAATGAACAACGAACCTGGTTTTTCTACATTGCCTGATTTGTTGAACAGTTCTTTGCGTGAACGTATATCATATAATAGTATCAGCTCTAAGATCTTGACAAAAATTACATCCAACTTGATTGAACTAAAGCTGAAATCAAAGTGCGGGCATTGCAATGGAAACTCATTATGTGGTAAATAAATTACGTAGTCCCTCGAGTTAAGATAAAGTATGTCCTATCTTGCAATAGTAATGCATTCAAGATTAATACTAAAACCAATACTAAAACGAAATAATAAGTAAGATTTGAACTCAAAATCCCGTACATGCACACTTAATAATTGAGTCAACCCTTTTACTACACTTTTTTTCTTCTTTCACATTTCTCATGCTTAGGATATTAGATTTATTTGTTTGAAGATTTACCCTAAGCAACAAGGTAAATTGAGTCGGCCACTACAATTGAAGAAGATATATAATAATCTTTGCTTAGCTGCAGGAAGAATAGAAATGTTGAAGAATAGGATTTGGTTGTCCTGTTGGAAGATTGAAGATTCTTGGGTTTTTTTTTTTTTTTTTGATCTAGAGATTTCAAAAACCTTTTTTTTTTTTCCACAAATGATTTTACCTTGAATTGATCGTTTAATTTGACACACTGGCTTGTTAAAATGGTTTATTTCATACATTAAAGGCAAAAGGATAAAAAAATATTTCAAACAAAAATTTAATAATCATCTTGATATTTTATTGCAATTAATTAAGTCATAAAATCTTCTTGTTAGTCATGATCTTTAGAAGTTTTATATACTTTTAATAGAACTATTCTCTAGCTTTTTGTTAAAGCTAGCTTTGTCCTTAGATTTATCCCTTTTTGGGTTTTAAATAAAATTTAATTTTGACTGAGCAAAAAAAAAAATCATAAATATTCTATTTTGAATCAGTTGAATAGTTAAACATTTATTTTTATCTAACTGAATATTTAAACATCTATTTTCATCAAATTAAATCATCAATAAGACAAAAACAATTGTTGTAATTTGTGGGATCGAGAACCTGATTGTCGAGCAAAAAATTTAAAGATAAAAAATAAAGAGTTATCACCAAACTTTTTTAATAAGTGTGATTGACCACTTAAAAAGTTTATCTTTTTAATAAAATCAAAAACGAATTTAAGGATTATCAAAAAAAAAATTTGGTCTTTGAAATTAGATTGGGAGTTCGGTTACATGTGAAGAAATATTAGTATTCCACAACACTCATTACCAATTAATTGTATGTTATCCTTGAATTTTGAATTAGCTATAATATTTAAAGATAATTTCTTGAATTTCATTTATTTTCACAAAATCTCATAATATTTTTTTTAAATGCAAGTCATTTTATTTTTGGATTAAGATGGAAACCTTTGGTAGTGAAACATCTTATTAATGCCACTATATTAATATCGAATATTAAAAGCATCCCCTTACTTTGGGGTTTTCATAAAAATGAAGATAATATTTTTTACAAAGATAATTATTGAGAATCCCCTTATATTTAAGCCAAGTCTAAAAAATAATCTTTACTAACAATATTACCTATTATTTTTAAAACATTTCTCTCATTTTTTGAAACCATGAATGCAACAAAATAAATGACATAAATCATAAAATGCATGAAACATAAAACATAAATCTATGTATGATATATAAAATGCTAATGACAATGAAAAATATGACATGTGTATGTGTAATTATTAAACAAGTAAAATGCAAATGCATGGAATGTGATTTCGGTTTTAGGTTTAAGGTTGGACTTTAGGATTTAAGGTTAAATTTAGGGTTTAAAAGTTCGCTTTAGAGTTTAAGGTTATGGTTTAGGTTTAGGATTTAGTTTAGGGTATATGGTTTAAGGCTTGGTTTAAAATTTCATTTAGGCCTTCAATTTTGGGTTTTAAACTAGGGTTAGGTTTTTAGGCTAGGATTTGGGATAATGCATGAATACATGAGACTATGACTTAAACAAAATTGTGAACATTTAAATAAAAAAAACATGTAGCCATTTTAACAAACACTCGAAGAACTAAAAGAACTTTGCATTTTATTCATCAACACAACATAAAAGAAACATAAATCACAACTTTTTAACTCTATAAATTCATTTAACCTTAATATGAACCTTAAAGCTCTATGAGATCCAAATTTAAACAAACAAAATATAGCCTAAACAAATAAGGGTAGGTTTGGCCATAATTTGGAGAAGGCTTGATCGAACCTATTAGTGGCCATTTTTACAAACACTTTTCCTTTAGACATCCATAATTCATCAAGCAACCATTTATTCAACATACAACTTTCATCAAACACTTAATAAACTAAGAAAACATAAGTAAGTTACTAATATTTTAAGAATCACAGAAGCACATGATCATGCTATAGCAATAACAATAAGCATGAAAACCAAATAAACACATGAGCAAACTATAGTAACAACAACCAACACAACTTCCAAATCATTAAGATAAGCATATATCGTAAATGAAGCATGAAAAACATTAAAAAATAAGGAAAAGAGGGTTGGGCTACCATGGGACATCTCACTGCCAAAACCCTCTATCAAATGGCTTATTGTTGATTTATGATCTTTCACTTCTCAAAACATTACTATAAAAAGGGTGGGATGAAAAGCACAAATCAAAGATATAATAATAAAGAAATCTAACAAAAGACTAGATGAAAATAAAAGAAATGCATGAGAAGAGAAAGAGAATTCCTAAAGGTTGATTTTTTCTTTTAAAATAGATTTTTTGGTACTAAATCTTTTGTGGCAAGAAAAGAGAGACTCTTTATAGCCCTATATTTATCTATTTAAAGAGCTAAGGCCTTTCTCATAACTATTGGATCAAAATCCATGTAAGGGTTATTGTAATATTTACCTTTTCTCACAAGTTTTGTGGCCAAGCAATGCAATCTAGGCCTTTGGATCTTAGCTCTTTTGAATCAATGGCTATGAAAAGATACAACAAACATTTTGGCATTTAGTGCAACTATTTCTATAAGAAAAGACAAATTTACCTTTATTTATGATTTAGGCTTTTTTTTCATGAATTTCTTTAAACCTTATGCTCCACTAAGTGATTTTCATAATTTTATTGCATTATAATTCATAAAATAATATTTAATTATGATCTAAAAATTTTCATGAAAAAGCAACCTCAAAAAGGTCAAATTACAAAAATATTCTAAAATGATATTTTTGTAGTTTCACTCCTTTTGAGATCCAAACAGATTATCTTTTAGAATCTAAATCATAATTGTATTAATCCTAAATCTTAATAATCTTAGTTAATCGCAAATTCCGAGGACTGACCCAAGTTATACTAAGTTTGACTATGGGTATTTTGGTCATTTCAACTCACAATTATTTTTTCCAAGGATTTTTTTTTCTAAACATCAAGCTTTGGAAAACTTGACTAGATAAGTGGTTTTGACCTATTTTGACAAAACAATGACCCCAACCTACATCAAGGGTATTTTGGTTAAAACATCTATTTTTGCTCAAAACTCAAGATTTACTTTAAAATCTTTAGGGATCCAATGA